TGTTTGTAAACATCCATCCAGTTTAAGTTATTTTACATTATAAAAGGTTTTCCCCACATCATAAAGAATAAGTTGTGTGTCACACATCTTGTCTCAATTGTGATTGAAAGAATGTTCAGTAATCAATAAATAATGCTCCCAGATCATGGATAATATTATTCTTGATTTGACATTGTGAATTGACTGACGAGCAAGGACTGATGATAAGATAGATGCTCAGATCTATATTGCCTGCATCCTATTAAAATATTCGATACTAAAGGTCCTGCTGTCACTAGTATACATCATTAAGGAATGCTTAGAATGTCCTTCATACCTCATATTTTACACCAGTCTCTTCTCTAACCCAATCATTAGTAAAACTAATGTTGGGGATGAATACCAAGACTGCCTTCGAATGAAGCTGATTGAATAACATCTCAAATTTTAATTGAGCTTTTAGATGAATTTTAATAAGTAACAGATCCTATACCATTTAAATGGTTTTAATTCCTTTGAGTTATGTGTTGACAGTTCAAAGCATGAAATCGTCCCTGTGAAATCCAATATAGAATTTGCATTGCCCAATTTATATTTGCTGATTTGAGGATGCTTGGCTAAATATTTCCACACTGCCAATCTTTTTCAATGTGATCCACTTTGCTTTTTCCTTTCAGCCAGCAATTGAACAACTTCTACGTCCCCTGCAGGATGTTCCATGAATTGGCCAGTCACGACACCCCTTCTTAAAATCAAAGCGTGTTATGGCATATAAGCACATCATTTGGACCATTGTGTCTCTGCTGGTTCTTTGTTTGGGCTGTCCAATTAATCTGAATCCTTCTGCCTTTTCCTTAGAACCTTGTAAACAGTTTATTTTCCTTCCAGTGTTTATTCAATTCTCTTTTGGATATCATGATTGAATCATGTTCCAACACTCTTTCAGGCAGTGCTTTCCAGAACACGAGCACAATGCGCCCATTCAAGAAAAGACATTCAGTTTGTCTTTGATTCTTTTGCCAATCACTTTGCATTTGGTTGGCTGGACTGAAGTTGTTGCATTTATTCCTTGCCCCAATTTGAAGCAAGGGTGCTCAGCTTGCAAACCTCCAGTCATCTGATGTGATGCCCATATCTCAAGGGGGATTCCATAACAATTTCCACTTTTGCTTCCCTCTGTAAAGACAGGAACATCCCATTCAGACTAGAAATGCTTTGAGTAAAGTTAACCTTTTAGCATTGCCTCTCTGTCAGTTTTTCTTTCAATACTGTTTCTCTGTTGTCTCTTTACTGCTCCATTGGAAGCTTTCTCTTGTCATGACTTTGTTGGGATAGTGGACTGAAAAAACAAGCCCTACTATTCCTGGAGCCATCACAAAATGTAAAGCTTTTAAAAAGAAATAGCACAATCCCCAAACTACCCAATTTTCAGACCCAGGTTGATAGAATATGTGGGCCAGGTTTCTATACTTAATAAGAATGACTGTTTATCACAGGTAATTAGATTCCAGCCAAGGGTAAGCAACTAAGTAAACTCTACAAATTAAAACTCTGCCGCCCCCACCCCTTATAAACTCTCCCCTACACAAAAAAGCCTGACAGACATAATCATGGGGGAAGACACACATTGGCTAAGGAAAAATTCAGTGAAGAACTCCACAAATTGACTACCATCTGAGGGAGGAAATTTCTCCTCATTTCTGACTTAAACGGGTGACATCATATTCTTAAATTATGCCCTCTGGTCCTAGACACTCCCACATCTGCCCTGTTAATGCAATCTTGTATGTTTCAATAAGGTCGCCTCTCATTCTTCTAAATTCCAATGAGCACAGGCCCAACCCACCCACTCTCTCCTCATAAGGCAGCCCCTCCACACCTGGCATCAATCTTGTGAATCTTCTGTGGACTATCTCCAATTGCCAGTACATGCTTCCTTAAACAATGGGCCCAAGACTGTTCATAGCATTTCAGCTGTTGTCTGGCTAGTACCTCAGATAGTTTTAGAAAAATTTCCCTATTCCCAACATCATTTCTTTTAAAATAAGGAAAACAAACATCCAAGCTGCAGCTTTCTGAAGTATCTATTTTTAAATAATATTCAGCTCTTTCATTCTTCTTGCCAAAGTGCAAAACTTCATGTTTTCCCACAATATGTTCCATTTGCTAAATATGTCTATATCCCTCTGTAGATTCCTTGTGATATCTTCACCGTTTCCCTTCCCACCTACTTTTCTTTAAATCCACAAACATGGTGACACTACCTTCAGTTTTGTCATCCAAGTCATTAAAATATATTACAAATATATTATAAATACATATTAATGCGCTGATCACACTGGCATACCACTAGCTACACGTTGTCATATTGAAAATGTCCCCCTTAGACCAACTGTCTGTGCTCTATTCATTACAGAATTAGACAAGGGAAAGAAAAGGGAATATTATGGTCAATGCTGAGGGCTCAAAACACCAGAAGTCCTAAAGGTGTATAGCAAGTGCAGGGGTTACTTAAAAAGAGGTTAGGAAAGCAAAGAGTGGGCACGATAAACACTGGCAGGTTAAAAAAAAGGTAAATTCAAAGACATTGTGTAAGTATACCAGAGGCAAGAAAAGTTAGGGCTCATTATTGGACCAAAGTGGCACACTGTGTGTTAGCAGTTGTTGACAGGCAGAGGACATTTTTCATTGAGAACTGACCATTCTTCTACCCCATTCAGTTTACTTGTAAACCATCTCTCGACTCCAGTTCGTTTGCGCATTGCTGAAACCCACAGCTGGATAAGCAGTATTGACAATAGGTATCAAATTCCTTACTTTCAAATTATGCAGCCATGCTTATAACTCCCAGGGTTTAAAAGTTTTTTTTTTCTCACTTCAGTCCACCTTACACTCTCATAGTGAATACAGTTGTAAAATGGTCATTTCTTATTTTGTACTTTGACTAAACCCTCTACTTCCAGAGGACTGACTCTTATTTTGTAATGAAAGCAGAAGTTGCTGAAGAAACTCGGAAGGTCTGGCAGCATCAGTGGAGAGGGAAACAGAGGTGATGTTTTGAGTCCAACATGGCTCTCCTTTGGAATCAAAGAGAGGTGGAAAGTGATGAGTGTTATACTGTATGAAAGGGTGGGCAGGAACAAGTGAAGCAGAGGCAATTTTGGAGAGTCAGGGAGATTAGAGGAGAAAGGTATCAAAGAATAAAAGGCCAAGAGAATAGCAATAGGTGTATAGAGATAGCTGGCTCCAGAGGAGGTGTTAACAACAGAATGTAGATCAGCTCTGGTAGAAGCAAAAACACCAAAATGACACACTGGGTTAGGGTTGGAGGGGGCAGGAAATGGAAGACAGAATTTATGGACTGAGTTGACTAATGTTTAGTTTAGAAGGCTGTAAGGTGCCTAATCAGAAAATGAGGTCTTGTTTCTCTAGCCTGCATGGGCTGAACAGGAAACAGGCCAAGGACAAAAATGTGGACAAGATGTTGGGTTAAAATGGCAAGCAGCCAGAAGGTTGGGATTATATTAGTGGATTGAGCAAATGTTCCACAAAATGGTTCCCCAGTTTGTGTTTGATCTCATCAACGTAGAGAACACCACATTGAAGGATCTTCATGAACCTTTCGCCTGTGCAGCATCACTGGAAACAGTCCCAGTATGTCAGGACCTCCCCCAGAACCACTGCTTCTTTTTGCTTCATTGTGTTGACTTGTTGAAACTGTTTTTTTTAAATGGCTTTTGAAAATTGAGTTCAAAAATTGCACACTGTACTGTAAATGCGGTCCAAACAATCTTTCACACTCGGTTATTATTGCAACTTCAGTCTTAAAAAGTAATGGGAAACGTATTAATAATGTGAAACAATTAGCTATTTTTATTGTACTCGGTTTTGCAGAGAATGAAATATTTGAACTTGTGAACCTCTTTCATCGTTAATGTCTTTTATTGATTGTATCATCCCGTGCCCTATTTTTTCTCCCAAACTATATTATTTATTCTTAGCCATACTAACCTGCAGCTGCCAACTGCTTGTGTATTCAGCTAGGCTGCCTTATGCACTCCTGAAGTTATTACAGTCTTCCTCATTTTTCAACCACCCTGCTTTTACATTATCAGCAAATTTGAGGATTGTGCATCCTATTCCTTAGTTGAAATCATTCATGTTTGCCAAGATCCAAAATTACCCTAGCACGAACCCCTGTGATGTACTACATCTAACCCTTCTTGAATCACATGGGCTTACTTCACTTTTTTTTACTTGTGCATGGGTTGAGGGGATCGATGGCTAGGCGAGTATTTATTTCCCAGAGAGAATTTAACAGTCAACCACATTACTCTGGGTCTGGAGTCACATGTAGTATTATTGAATTCAAATTCTATCATCCGTCTTGGCGGGATTCAAACCCGGATCCCCAGAACATTACCTGGAGTCTCTGGATTAACAGTCTAGCGATAATGACACCAGGCCATAACCATCTTGCACTTGTTTTATCCGTTTAGACAGATAGTTTTCTGTATATATATGCTACATTTCCGTTTGTACCATATATTTTATGCCAAATTATAAGATATGTTTTGCACCAAGCAATTAAAGCCAAGTTGATGCCCTCTGTTAGTTTCAATTATTTAATGGAGTCCAAGAGAAATTTACTGGATCTTTTCCCTCCAATTAACTTGGGTTTATGTCTGTTCTCTGCCCCTTCCAGGAGCTTCAGTGGCTCTGAGTGGGGATGGAAGTCTGTGCTGCGTGAGGCTGAGGGATAGGCTTGATAGACCAGCAGGTTGTTTACTCTATATCATCTTCCATGCATTCATACATCATTAACAAACCACTTGGGAGAAACCTTAATGAATGCTTTCAGAAAATATCGATTCACTATGTTTACAGAAATACCAGAAACCTAGCTGCTTAAGGAGAGAAAGTGGATTTTAAAAAATGGTGGAAGAGAAAGGAAAAGCCTTACTATGCTTTCATACTATGATCTTCATGACGGTATCCAACACTTCTTTTCCCGTGCTCAGGTTCCAATCCCAATAACGTCTGACTTGGACCCTATGACCATGCTGACAGATGATGCTGATGTTGCGACCTGGCAGAATGAAGGTCTCCCTGCTGACAGAATGTCCACGGAGAATGCAACCATCTTAACCAACTGTGAACGCTGGCCACTTGTGATTGACCCCCAACTGCAGGGTATCAACTGGATCAAGAACAAGTATGGAGAGGATCTCCGAGTAGTCAGGATTGGCCAGAGGGGGTAAATTATTTCATAACTTGCTTATTTGTGATGAAAATCTGTTTGCAACTAGTCACCATTCGAGGGAACTGTTGTGATTAACCAATGATCATCCTGACATTGCTGCAGCTCAGTCTTAGCTCTATGTCTCTTATGGTCGATTGGGTTAGAGTAATTTTGCATGGTTTTAGCAGTCTTTGTCGCCGTGGCAGTAGCAACTGACATTTGTACCACACAAGTGCTAGCTAATGACCAATGAGAGGCAAATTGACCATCTCTACTTAGTTGTCAGTGGCATTCCCAGCATCAAATCCTCCACCAGCAACAATCCGGGTGACTATTGAGCAGAAACTAAATTATACAGATACTGTGTTTACAAGAGCAAGTCAGAGACTGGAAATGCTGCAGTGACTAGCTCACCTTCTGACTCTCCAATGCTTTCTACCATCCGCAAGGACCAAGTCAGGAGTGTGATAGAATGCATTCCACTTGCTTGGAGGAGTGCAGCTCTATGATGTTCAAGAAGCTTGCCACCATCCAAGACAAAGCAGCATACTTGATCAGCATCCACTCCAAGACCTTAAGAATGAATTCCCTCAGAGATAGTAGGAACTGCAGATGCTGGAGAATCCGAGACAACAAGGTGCAGGGCTGGATGAACACAGCAGGCCAAGCAGCATCATAGGAGCAGAGAGGCTGACGTTTCGGGCCTAGACCCTTCATCAGAAAAGGGGGAGGGGAAGGGGGTTTTGAAATAAATAGGGAGAGAGTGGGAGGCGGATAGAAGATGGATAGAGGAGAGGATGGGTGGAGAGGAAACAAACAGGTCGAAGAGGCGGGGATGGAGCCAGTAAAGGTGAGTGTAGGTAGGGAGTTAGGAAGGGGATAGGTCAGTCCAGGGAGGACGGACAGGTCAAGGGGGCGGGATGA